CCCGGGGCAGCGCCGGCCCGGGCTCCGCCGACGCGTTTTCTGGTCGTTTCCAAAGGGAAGACGCCCCGATTCGTGTCTGCGTGAATCCGGGGCCTCGGACGCGGTCTCCCGGCGCGTTCCCCACCCCTATCCACCGCCCGATTCTCGAGGCACCGTCGTGCCGGCCGGAACGTCGGGACGCTCTGTTTGTGGGTGTAGGGGTTCCGTTTTGGAAAAAATAATCAAAAAAATTTTTAAGTTTTTACTGTGCTTCCTTCTTGTAGCCGTTGGTTTGAGAGTCTGGTTTTTTATCTAACTCTGAGACTTTACGTACTTAACGGGACTGCGAGTCGTTTTCATGTATCGTTTCCGTAACCGTCCTCGCCGCTTCTTGTCCCTGAGAGAAGAAACGTCGGTGCATTTCGGTGCCCAGTTCTGCGTACCTGGGGAGGAATCAGCTGAGACCAGTGGGGGGCACTTAGGATATTGGGGTCTAGAAGAACACTGGAGAAACAGTAGTAAGGAGTCTTAAGGAGACAAGTTAAGACTGAAAAAAGAGAAAGCCAAGGGGTGCTTAAATACATTATTTTTTTTTGATCTGCAGGAGGAGAGAAGGAACCCCAGTGAGTGAAAAGCAAAACCCAGGTCCAGCGTGCGAGGGCGGGGCTCGGGGCTCGTGGTCAGACTCCTCAGTGCACAAGGGCTTCTAGGAGTTTCCCCCGTTTTTTTCTCTCCAGCTTCATCTCCCAGGACTTATTCACACCTCCCTTTACTCTAGTTCCTGGAAGGCGTCTTGCTCGTTTTGTGTCTTATTGTTCCCTTTGGCCAGTAACGTTCAGATCTGACCCAGGGAGGGCATCTTACCATGTGGGACCATTCTTAGTGGGCACTGTGAACTCTTTACTTCGGATCATCCAAATAGCTAGTCAGCTGTTGGTGAAGGCAGATGAGCAGGGTGGGCTCACAGAAGATGCCTGGCAAGAGAGGGGGCAGGCTGGGCTGCGCAGTGTGGTGGTTGTTGACCAGTCACAGGCGGGACCTGTAGGCGGGATTTGCTAAAGAAGCAGCCACGGCATCTGATGGTGCTGTGCAACTTTCTGGAGATAAAATGCCACCTCTCCATTCAGGAGCAGACTCGTTCTCCTTGTTCTCCGCTCCTGTCCTGACTGCTGACGGTTACGATAAAGTTTACGACAGTTTGTGCATGTTTACTGAGCACGGTTTCGTGCTAGGTGCCAAGCAGTGCTTTCCTGGATCTTATCTGCTTCCGGGGAAGTGCTGGTGTGGTCCCCGTGCTGCTGTCTCCTCTCCTTCCAAAGTGGCCGTTCACACGTGGTGGGGGCGTCCTGAGTGCTCAGGGTCTTCTTGCTCTCCTCTCCTAAGCTGCCCTGAGGAGCTCCCCGCTGTGTACCTGAAGGGCCAGGGGTCTGCACCTCGCCCGTCAGCAGTACTGCTTTCTTGGCCAGAAGAGGTCACAGCTGTCACAGGTTCCACTGAATCCAGACAGTCGCTCTTTACTGGGATTCCAGAGATCTTACCCCCAAAAAACGAATTCAGCAGGGTCAGGTACAAAGGAGAAAAGGTTAGGAATAGCGTAAGGTCTAGCTGCTTTCCTGTTTTATTTATCACATTTTAACTTAGCATTTAAATGCGCTGCTTGGTTTGATTGCTGCTGAGTGCCTGCCGGCATACAGGGTGCTTCTGCCGCCTCGGGGCAGAGGCCACTCTGGTCTGTCTCATCAGCTCCCAAATTCTCTCCTCTGTCCAGACCACGCTGGCTCACATCATAGCCAACCACAGCAAGAAACACAGCATAAGGTTTGTGACGTTGTCGGCAACCAACGCCAAGACAACCGACGTGCGCGACGTCATCAAGCAAGCTCAGAACGAGAAGAGCTTTTTCAAGAGGAAAACCATCCTTTTTATTGATGAGATTCATCGGTTCAATAAATCTCAGCAGGTACGTTCACTTTCTTCTGCCCTTTGGTCGTTGTGAATGTTTACTTGGGTATAAAGTATGTGAGGTCACTGTGCAAATGCCCAGGGCTAGAGGTTGATTATTAACTGTCTGTCTACAAAGATGTGTGGACTGTCGGCCCTTCTTTACACCTATTTCACCATTTTTTTGTTAGCGGGTTTTTTTTTTTTTGGTGTTAAGAGAATACTTTATCTGGTAAATGAAATTGGTGGCATATCCTTGAGCTATACATATCAGAAAAGCCACTTTGGATCAAGTTTCCAATTTTCATAAATTTTGAATTAAAGCATCAGGAGTCATGGCGAACAGTTTAAGCTGCTGTTCTTGAACCGAAATTAGGAAAAGAAAGGCGCAGCCGACTTACCCAGGACCCGGCTGGTTGCCAACTGTGGTCGTTTTCTTCTGTTTTCCTCCACAACCAGGACACGTTCCTTCCCCACGTGGAGTGTGGGACCATCACCCTGATTGGGGCGACCACAGAGAACCCCTCCTTCCAGGTCAACGCCGCTCTTCTGAGCCGCTGTCGGGTGATCGTTCTTGAGAAGCTACCAGTGGAGGCGGTGGTGACAGTCCTAATGCGAGCGATTAACACCCTGGGCATCCACGTCCTAGACTCCAGCCGCCCTGCTGACCCCCTGAGCCACGGCAGCAACAGCAGTTCTGAGTGAGTGACTGGGTGGGCCCTGGGTGGGGGGCCTGCGGGCCGGGTGCAGGGAGGCCTGCTGGTCCAGTACAGGGTGGGCGGGGCTCCGTTACAGCCTCTGATGTGCGCCTCCGCGGCGGCTTCTCTCGCTCCAGAGGCGCGGCGGGGCCGGGCGTGGGCGCCTCGGTAGTTCTGGCTCAGCCCCTTGGTTCGGTTCTTGGGGGTTTGCTTTTGCACTAAGGGTTTGGGTCTTTTCCTAGCACGCGTTTCTTCTGAGGCTTGGAAGACCATGGGAGGCCTTGCTGATCATTTTTTTTCATGGACTTTTGACAGATTTATACTCTCATTCCAATTTTCTGTTTCTGCAGTTTATTCTTCTAAAAATATTAAGATCTAATGTAAATGTTACCATAAAATTCTTTAAATCTTTTTAGAATGATTTTTACCTACTCTAGAAGTCAAGCTCAGTTCCATGAAAGTGAAGAAGTTTTAACTGGTCACCTCTCTCTCTGTGTCATGAGTGCGGAGTGAGTTCATTGATACGCCGGATGTGTTGTGGATGATGGGCTAGGGTACTTGGGTCAGAGGTTTTCCCTTATTTGAATTAGAATACATCCTTCAGGTGTCCTGTGGGCCCGGGCCGCTGCCCTAACACAGTGGAGCAGAATCTGTCCCGTGAAAGGCGGGCCCCTGCCTGCTGGGGACCCCGCAGCTGCTACCCTGCTGAGCTCTCGCTGCCCTTCTGTGAGAGTTAAAGCACAAGGTGGAGTTTTAGGCTCAGGGCGTCACCAGTCTCCCTGCGGGCCTGGCCTCTGCCATTGGCTCCTGTGTCAGGTGCAGGCGGAGTCACGCTGGGCCTCCTGGGAGCCCTGAGCTGGGCCGAGAACCCCCATGGGTAAAGCCACATCTTTTTAGGGTAGAGCCTTGGTGGGACAGCCACCCACCTTGTGTGAAGAGACGGTGGAACCTCCTGGCCCCAGTCAGGTGCCCTGTGTGCCCATTGGGGTTGAAAGAGGCTCTGCCAGCTCTTCGCAGCTGGTATCAGTTTCCTGGAAATGGCATTTTCCCTGCAAAACTCATGTAACCCAGTGATGAAGAGAAATTGGGTGGGTGGGGGAATCCTGACATCGTGTATTTTGTGTACAGGAACTAGTTATCATAATGTATTTTCATTTAGGGTAATTTTACTTACTTCCATCACTATCTCCTGGGGTCGGTATTCAGGTCCCCTCAGGTTCCCCTCTGCAGTCACTGGCCAGCCTGTTGGGAGAAATCTGGAGCTCTTCTTAAAAAGGTTTCTGCATTTTAATACTATCCCAGGTCATCTGCATTGAGAATGGGGACTCCTTTTATTGCTGAAAGTTTGCTGAAAGTAAGAGCCTGATGCAGAAGTGATTCTTCATCTACTAAAACCGCATTCCCACCCGGGGAAGGCTCCCGGATCTGCTGGTTAACTTCCACCGCCACTCGTGTGGAGCTGATGCTAACCATATCGTGACTTCTTTTCATTGTGACTTCTTTTCGTTGTCTTGTTTCTTTTCTTATGTCCCTCACCTTCCTGGGAGGGTTGAGGGAGAGGAACTGGTCCCTGCTCGCACTCCCAGCGCCGGGCACAGCACGTCATGTGCTATTAGCACGTGCCTCAGGAACGGATACAGCCCAGCTTTCAGCGTGACAAGCCATTTAGTACATTGTGTGTCTGTGTTCCAGAGTGGAGCTCATTGCCCCGCTGCCCGGAACCTTCTTCAAGAAGCTTTTTCTTAATGCTGTTGCCCAAGCAGCATGAAATGAAAGACAGTTGGGCTTAATTAAGTGGTCACTTAGCGTCTGTGACAGGAAGTTCAGTTGGCAGGTGTCGTAGGCTGCGGGAAGAGCTCACACGTTACTCATCTAGGAGAAGTGCACCTGGCCGCCCAGATGCCTGGGACAGAGCGGAGTAGATGGTGTAGTCTTTCAGGTACAGGGGAAATTTTACTTTCAGGTTTCTGTTGAGCGACGTTGACTTTGTGGACGTAAGTTAGGTTTAGTTCCACCAATCTACCTGGAAAGAATGACTTTGCCCCCCAAATAATGACTCTCTGGCTGTGGTGTGTGTTCTCAGGTCATGTGCTAGTGCCCCGGGGCCACTGGAGCGATCTTGGAGGAAGTCAGGCTGTCGAAGCTGTGGCCAAGGGGCTGACACCTGCCGTCCGCCGTCTTCATCTGCCCATTGCAGGTAGAAGGCCCTGCACGGGCTCGGCCTGGGCTGAGTGCTGCGAGCTCGCTCCTGGGCCTTCACACTCGGCCTGTGGGAAAGGGGCTCCTCACAAGCCATGGGCCTACGAAGAGTCATCTAGAAAGTGTGAACTCAGATGTTTTCCCTTCTTAGAGACCAGACACTGAGTTGAGTTCTGAAGGGCAAGCAGAATTGACTAGACGAAGCCGCGTTGTCGTGTGACAGGCGAGGTGCTGACGCAGAGCGCTGTCCGCACGTTGTGGCTGGAGGCACAGACGCTCTGGGGGGCCTTTTACCCAGATCTGCACATCACACTTACCAGGGTTATAGTTTAAAAAGGCATATGCGAGGGGTCGTCCCCAGAGACTGGAGTCAGTAAATCTGTGGTCAGGTAGGCACATCGGCGTTTTAGGAAAGTTCTTTGTAATGTGACGCACACCCGTCTTGTCACCCTGACCGTGGAGTGTTCCTTCTCTTCAGTGAGAGATCCACAGAGTGCTGTTTAGTCTTTTAGGGAGAGGGTGTAGCTGAGCCACATCTGCTTCTGTTTTGCATGAAATAACAGGCGCATTTTCACTTACCTCATTCCGCCTCCAGCTGAAACATGCAGCCATCTGAATAGAATCCTCCAAACCCCAGAGAAGCAAGGTGCAGAGGGGCAGCCCGAGGAAGGAGGAGGGGAGGGAGCCGCCCTGCTGCCGTGCCCCGTTTCCCGCTCAGGCCACGCTGCTCCTCGGTCAGAGGGCAAGGCCCCAGGCCTCCCCTGGGTCTTGTGACCCGGGAACGTATCTTTCCACTGCACTTAGGCAACCACTCTCGCCCTAACTGTGGAACAGGTGTCTTAGTCACACTGTACCGTGTAACTTACTAGCTACTGCTTATTTCTCTGCAGGACGCTGTGAAGTTTCAGGCACTCTATCCCCAGAGTAGATTTTGCCTCGTTTAATTCTATTCTAACTTTAGAAAGTTACTTCCAAATGGAAAACATTTTTAAGTCTGTGCTTAAATTTTAAAGTAATGTGAAGCTCTCTGGACCGGGAGCGCCCTTTCAAGATCGCTGGTGTGGGAGTTACTGTCTGCTGGGAGCTTTGCAGATGCCATTACAGACATTCCTGTTCCGTTGCTCTTGGCATAAGCACTCTCGCCTCCTCCCTCTCCTAAGATCTCGGGGTGTTTTAATGCACTTTGTTCCTCTTCGGAACCCAGATGGTATCAGCTGGGGTTGGGGAAACACTGGGTGGTGGGTGGAACCTTTGACCATCTGTGCAAAGTCCTATTTGGTGATTGACTCCTGTGACCATCCTGAGTGCCATCAGCAGACGCTGTTTATTACAAGAACAGAGGTGCTGGCAGATTCATTCGTGTTTAAAAATACTCATTGTGGACGGGGTGAAATTTGGAATGTGGATCATCTGAAGAGGGGAGTGACGTGGCGGGTCTGGAGTGGGAGCGCCTCCATCCCTGCCCCTCCTGGCCTGACAGAAAGGGTAACAGAACAGTTTGGACTTCGGTTAAGGGTGGGCACGTTGAAGGAAGGATTTCACTTACCATCCACGTAAAGGAGTTGATCCCTGTTTTTACAGGCTCGTTCACAGTCGGCTAGCTGGCTTCCTCATAGTTCATGAGGCCTCTTCCATCTTTACGTGAGGGCGTGGGGAAGTGGGGGAGCACTAGAGTGAGCACTAGTGTGCGGGCCGCTGCCCACTCTCCCCGAGAGCCCCAGGCCTCTAAATGTGTGGCAGAGTCACAGAAGAGGGAGGTCCGTACATCCGAGCGCCAGCGTGGAGGGCACAGCAACAGGTGACTTTCACCCCATCTCTAGTTCTGAACCTTTATGTAATGCACATTTTATTAAAAAGTAACATTCGGAGTTCTGAGTGGCTTGCTTGTTTTTCAAGATATTTCATTGTTAAGGGTGTGATTCCTACTTTGTTTTAAAAATCAGGCTGGATGTTTACAGGATGGAGACTAACAGGATGTTCAGAAGGTTCTGCCTGCCACCCAGTGTGCCCAGAACCCCAGCGTGCACCACCCAGGTTTAGGAACGTGGAAGGCGCACTTGCAAAGAAAATTCAGCAAATGACCTGGTGGCTGTTGTCTCCGGGTGTTGTGGATAAGGATTTTTTTGTTTTTTTTTTCCTATAGTCCGTATGTTATAATTTTTAAAAATACATGTTTCACTCTGAGATTGTGGGGAAATTGAAGTCAGTCCACTTGGTGTGCAGATACTGTACGTCTGATCTCTGCCAGGCAGCAGGGATAAAGAAAGAGTAAGACATAAATTCCTGTATTTGAGGCCCCTTGTTGAGTGAGGACAAAGAGACAAGTGTCATCACCCAACGGCCCGGCCCCAGGTGGCACGCACTCAGGCTCCGGCTCCGTCCTCTTCCTCCTGCAGGTGGTCCTGTGGGCTCTTGGCTGCTAGGAAGCCTTCCCAGGAGATGGAAATCGTTGCTTTGATAGTTCTGAGATGAGATGTTCAGGCCATTTGGTTCTCCTTGCCCCGCCCGCGACACAACACGCACACACGCGATGTGCTGTCACCAAGACCCGGACCGCCTGTTAGGGTTAGGGTTTTCACTGTTCTGTAGGAGAGAACCAGAGAGACTGCATGTCAGCAGTGACTTTCTAGAATTGTCCATGTCTCCTCCATACCTGCTTACACGTGTGTGCTTACATAGTTGTGTCCCCCGGTATCCGGAGGGGATTGGTCCCAGGACCCCCACCCCCAAAGTCTTCAGACGCTCAAGTCCCTTCTCTGAAGTGACCTAGTGTTTGCGTGTCACAGAGGCACACCCTCTGGTGCATGTTACATCATCTGTACGCGACTTAAACACCCAGCACGACGTGAATGTTGTAAATGCTCTGTAAATAGTTGCGGGTGTGCAGCAGATTCAAGCTTTGCTTTTTGGAAGCTTCCGGAATTTTTCCCCTACTGTTTTCCTCCGAGGTTGCTTTTAGCTGCAAATGCAGAGCCGGCAGACACAGAGGCTGGGTGTACAGTAGAATAACCCTGTGACCCCAGGACAAGGTGGCCCTCGGTCTTGATGTTGACAAACCCCGTCAGCAGCCTGGCCAAGGGTCCAGGCTGAGGCGTGACCCTCAGGTCGCGTTGCAGGGACCTGCGAGGACGCAGCTCAGGACGCGCCGCAGGGTGAGGCGCGAGTCCCGTGAGTGACGGCGTGCCCGCTGGTGTTGCAGGCCCTCCGTGTTCATCGAGGACAGGGCGGTGGACACGCTGGCCCACCTCAGCGACGGGGACGCCCGGACCGGGCTGAACGGCCTGCAGCTGGCGGTGCTGGCCAGGCTGAGCGCCAGGAAGGCATTTGGTAAGAAGAGTGGGCAGACCTACTCTCCCAGCCGGGTCCTGGTGACCGAGGGCGACGTGAAGGAGGGCCTCCAGCGCTCCCACATCCTGTACGACCGAGCAGGTGAGTGAGTGGCCCGGCCGCTGCCCTGCCCCGGGGCCCCGGGGGCTCCGTGTCGGGGACAGGATGCCCTCCCGCGCAGGCCCGGCTCCCTCGGGGCGCAGAGCAGAGCCGCCCTGGGGAGAACACAGGGTTTTGGGTGTGACGTCGCAGGAAGTTAGGGATGTTTCCGTTACTCTCTGGCAGCGCCTTCTAGAACACAAGGGGATTTTTCCCCCCTTTTTTTTAATTGAAGTACAGTGCTCAGCTGGCAGCGAGGGGTCCTTTGATCGTCTGTAGTGGAGGACCTTTGCAATAAGGGAACTTAACGAGAATTACAGTGCTTAATTTTGGAGTCTGAACTGGACGTTGAGTATACGTGGAACTCCATGCTCCTGTTTTGTAGGCTTCTTTAAAAAGTTGCTTTTGCTTTGTGTGCTCACCTGTTTTCGGAGAATCGCATTTAGTTAACAGATTTGGTACCAGCTCCTGTTGACGTCCTGACCTCAATGAGGACATTAAGTGTCGTGAGCGCAGCACACTTGGGTCTTTTTATAAAAGGCGTGAGTGTGGCGAGCCGGCCGTAGGTCAGCTGCGTGAGGGCTTGTGGGATTCTGGACAGAGTCACACAGCGAGGCTCTCAAAGGTGTGGAAAGTCTACTCCTAGTTACTGCAGGGAAGGCTCGTGGCGACTCCCCACTCACATCTGACAAGATAGGCGCTGGAGGTCTCTTGGTGTCCCCGTGTCTACGGGTTGGCCAGGCCCGCACCGCCGGCCACCCCCACGTCCAGGCGCATCGCTGCTCCAGCGTCCCACAGGTGGCTCATGCTCCGCTGGCAGCTGGAGGGCAGCTGTCAGACCTCACTCTGCTCACTCCTCCTGTGCCCTCCCGTGTTAGCTCAGGCTTCCTTGCAGTCGGCCGAATGAGATAAGTGTGTGGCTTGGATAGCATGAGCCTGGGGCCCTGGCTCCCTGCCCACGCTGAGCGGGCCTTTCTGGTGTCCAGGCGACGAGCACTACAACTGCATCTCCGCCCTCCACAAGTCGATGCGGGGCTCGGACCAGAGCGCCTCCCTCTACTGGCTGGGGCGCATGCTGGAGGGGGGCGAGGACCCGCTGTACGTGGCCCGGCGGCTGGTGAGGTTCGCCAGCGAGGACGTCGGTGAGTGACAGCGGCCCGGAGCCTGGTGTCCCCGGGTGGGTGGTGTGGGCGGAGGGGACGCTGCTTTTGGGCCTAGAAATTCCTTGGTGCCACATAGGGCGGGTGAGGAAACGACTTCAGCGTGAACACAGTTCATTGCTGGGCGTTGTGCGTGTCTGTTTGTTCCCTGAGTCAGCATTTTCTGTTCCCTCTCCGGTGTGAGGTTCTCCGCGTGAGTGCCGGCACACCTTGATTTATTTGCATTTGGCTGCACTTCACAGATGGTGTGTTTTTCACAAACTGAAGGTTTGTGCCGACCTTGCACCAGGCAGGTTTGTCGGCACTATTTTTCCAACGACATCTGCTCACTTGGTGTCTCTGTGTCACGTTTTGGTAATTGTCACAATATTTCAAACTTTCCTCATTACGTTTGTTCTGGTGATCGGTAATCTTTGACGTCACTGCTACAAAAAGATTACGACTCGCTAAAGGCTCAGATGATGGTTAGCATTTTTTAGCAATAAAGTGTTTTTAAATTAAAGTGTGTACTTTGTTTAGACATAATGCTGTTGCACACTTAATAGGCTACAGTACAGCATAAACATAGCTTCCGTATGCATTGGACAACCAGACAATTCATGTGATTTGCTTCCTGTGATGTTTGCGCTGGTCTGGACTGAACCTGCAGTACCTCCGAGGTGCCTGTGTTGAAATAGAAGAAATACGTTAAATTTGCTTTGCAGTCAGGTGGTCAGATTTCATCAGACATCTTCTCAGATAAAAGTGGACGATTCTGGACACTGTTTAAAGGAAAAGATCAGAAAGCTTTGCCTTTGGTGTTAGTAAGTGTTTTGCTTTTAACGTCTCTGTGGCTGTCTTCGTGGCCCCTGCTCCTTATGTTTGTCATGTGTGGCCTCCTGTCTTTCCTGCTGGACGTAGTTTTTATCCAGGAGGAGACAGTTCTCGACACGGCCCGGCAACCACCCAGTGACTGCTCTTGCGCAGACCAGTGAGATCAGGCCGCTGAGTGGATTTTTCAGTCAAGCCTGCAGCGGCAGGGGAGGGGGGCCCCCCACTTCAGCCTGTCTTTGTCTGTGTGGCAGGGCTGGCCGACCCGTCCGCGTTGACACAGGCAGTCGCCGCCTACCAGGGCTGTCACTTCATAGGCATGCCTGAGTGCGAGGTAAAGCCACCGCTCCGTCCCTTCGGGGGTGGGTGTGCGCTCCACCCTGGCCGCGGCCTGGAGCGGGGCTGGGGGCCTCAGGTATCAGCGGGGCCGTGTCCCCAGACTGGCGGAGTCCGAGTCCTGGGTTCAGAGAGGGGCCCAGGTTTCCTGGAGGCATAAGTGTCGAAGGAGCTGATCACTGCACACACAGACAGCAGCTCCTGTGGGCCTTCATATGTTGGGGTTTTAAGAAGTTTCATTTAGTAAGTGTTGAGTTGAGAAGAAGAAAACTGCTGTGTGGCTCAGCCTCTCTTCAGTAGGAGCGCCTTCTTTCTGTCATGGGCCACGCGGGTCACGCAGACTGCAGGCCGAGGGGGAGTGAAAGCATGGGGCGGGGGCCGTCTCCGAACTTTCTGGAGACCGAGAAGTGTTCGTAACAGCGTGGCCTTCTCGTCCAGGTGCTCCTGGCCCAGTGCGTGGTCTACCTGGCCCGAGCCCCCAAGTCCATCGAGGTGTTCAGCGCCTACAACAACGTGAAGGCCTGCCTGCGGGGCCACCCGGGCCCGCTGCCCCCCGTCCCGCTGCACCTGCGCAATGCGCCCACCCGGCTCATGAAGGACCTGGGCTACGGCCAGGGCTACAAGTACAACCCCGCGTACAGCGAGCCGGTGGACCAGGAGTACCTGCCCGAGCAGCTGCGGGGCGTGGACTTCTTCAAGCAGCGGCGGTGCTGACTGCGGCCCCGCTGCGGCGCGGGCGGGCGCGGGGTCCCTCGGTGGAGGCACGGCCACTTCAGCTGCGTGTGTGACGTTGGGGTTGTGTTCACTTGCACTCTGTGCGGCAGTTACGCTTTGAGACCATCAGGCAGCTTCGTGCTGTGATTCATGTTATGCGGAGTTCTCTATTTTGTCATAGTATTTAAGTCATAATGTCACTTCAGAATTCAGTTCTGTAGGGTTTTTTTTCCTTTAAAAAATGTATATTCTCAGTAGTTTCAATTGGTAAAAAAAAGTAATTGTGATTTAATACTGCATAGTGTTTTGGGTATTTTTTTTATATGCAAAGGTCTTATGAGCCAATAAAACTATTTCAAAGTACTCTTCAATTCTTTTGTGTTTTTCCCACCTGGGATCCAAGACAACTGTCACCGTCACAGTTTGATGGGTAAACACTGAAAGAGGAATCATCGTAGGTGACGCTGGGGAGCATGGTGACAGCTCCACCTGACGCAGAGCCCGCGTTCTCCCTGTGGGTTCCTCCCGCCTCCGCCCTCGGGGCTGTCTTTCTGGAACAGCCTCTGGAGGTTGGTCCTTGTGGACTGGTCCTCGTCTGTGTCTTTCCTCCTTGTTGTCCATCCTGTTTTTGCACCCCTTCCGAGGAGAGCCCCTCAGCTTCGTTTTTCATCTTTGCCGTCGTCCTGGTTCAGATTTCCGGGAGCTCGCTTTTCTGCTAACGTCCCTGCTTTTACGTAGTGGCCCGTGTGTGTGTGTGTGTGTGTGTGTG